CACCCCCGCCATATTGTATATACTCTACATTGGAGTGTCAGTGCCCTGCCACAGTCCTCACCTGGCCGGCTGGCACAGCCTCAGCCACCTCCCGGCCAGAAGCTCTGAAGGTGCCCGCAGTCTCCCCACCGCTCTGAGCGCCGCCATCTTTCCCCCACCGCGCAGTGCCTGCCGGGAAAGGCTTCAGCGGTGCCGAGGACACTTCGCAGGGTGCCGGTCACGAGACGTCACATCCGACTGTCACACGACGTCACTTCCGTCTGTCACACAGCGTCGTAGGAGGCCATCTTTGTTGTGGGCAGAAACGCTAAGAGAGCCGAATGACACAGGAGCGGTTGCTATGGTGACTGAGTTCCCCCCCCCCCAGGGTTCCTGCACATTTCGGTAAATAAAAAGTGTGCCCCTTGCAGTCTGTACCCCTAAAACGGATGTATTTGCAAAATGTTGCCTGTTCACACCTAAGCGTTTAGCGCATGGTATCGCACAGCGCGCGCTGTATTGCCATTCATGCAAACTACTTTAGCGCAACGCTTAGGTGTGAAGCGGCCCCTAAAGTTTTTTTTCTAGAAATGTCCGCCGCTTTTTAAAAATAATTTCTTTGTTTTTTTTCCCTCCAAGATACCTGCCAGCCGTGAAAAGGTTGGAACCCCCGGGAATGTGAATAAAAAAACGAAGGCCGCTTCCACCCGTAGAACTGGGCCCCCTTCTCCTCAGACCGCAGAGACATCGAACATGATGACTCCATATTGTACCACCCCATACCGCCACTGAAGACCCATTCTGTCAATCAATGCAGCCAGCCAGGATTCTGTGCATCAAATAAAGTTTTTTATCATCTTCATCATTTGAGGTAATCACTCCATGAGACGTTCTTAACCAGTTGACATCCGCGGTGTTACACCCCCTTCCCATCCAGGCCATTTTTCAGTATTCAGCGCTGCGGTACTTTGACTGACATTTATTCCGTCATGCAGCGCTGTACTGAAATGAATTTTATACCCTTTTTTGGGGACAGATAGAGCTTTCTTTTGGTGGTATTTATTCACCACTGGGGGTTTTATTTTTTTACTATATTAAGTTCCAAGATGGGGCAGCGGATCCCGGGAATCAAGGTGAGGGGTCAGGGGGGAGAAAAAAAAAACCGGAAGCGTGCCACCGGGCGTGGCGGGGGGGGGGGCTTGCCGCGAACGAGCACATATAGGCGATCGGCGGGCTATGGACCCGCTGATCGCCTATATGTGAAACACCCGGTAACGGGTGTGTGCATTGATCGGGTCTTTTCTGCCCGTGCGTGCCCGCTAGGGGGCGAGCGCGAGCAGAAAAAAATTGCCGCCTGGAGACGGCAACCCGCAGATGCTGCAGTCCGTTTTTTTACTACGGGCGGACGGCAAGAGGTTAAAGTGTATGGAAAGCCAAAAAGTTTTTTTTATATATAATGCATATGGTTTGAAGCCCCACCTGTGTACCATATGGGAGATTTCCCTTCACTTCCTGTCATAGGCACACAACGGGAAGTGAGTGGAAATCTCTCCAAAGAGAGCGTGAATCCCCTCTTTGTTGTCCTCTTCGGTCCTTGCCCTGAGGTGGGTGCTCCTCCTGAGAGTGGAGCGGACATGATGACATTAGCATCACTGTGGACCTTGAGAGCCGAGGCCTATGACACCCTGCACACTCAGTATAACATCAGTCTCAGGCTGAGGACATCTTGTGGTGAAAAGAGGGTAATGCAGGGAAAAGCCACATAACACTGCAGGGGGTGCATCTAACACAGCAACAAGTACCCTCATATATGATGGAGGTCAGTGATAAGTACCCTCATATATGATGGAGGTCAGTGATAAGTACCCTCATATATGATGGAGGTCAGTGATAAGTACCCTCATATATGATGGAGGTCAGTGATACGTACCCTCATATATGATGAAGGTCAGTGATAAGTACCCTCATATATGATGGAGGTCAGTGATATGTACCCTCATATATGATGGAGGTCAGTGATACGTACCCTCATATATGATGAAGGTCAGTGATAAGTACCCTCATATATGATGGTGGTCAGTAATATGTACCCTCATATATGATGGTGGTCAGTGATATGTACCCTCATATATGATGGTGGTCAGTGATAAGTACCCTCATATATGATGGTGGTCAGTGATATGTAACCTCATATATGATGGAGGTCAGTGATAGGTACCCTCATATATGATGGTGGTCAGTGATACGTACCCTCATATATGATTAGGTCAGTGATAAGTACCCTCATATATGATGGAGGTCAGTGATAAGTACCCTCATATATGATGGAGGTCAGTGATACGTACCCTCATATATGATGGAGGTCAGTGCTAAGTCCCCTCATATATGATGGAGGTCAGTGATACGTACCCTCATATATGATGGTGGTCAGTGATAAGTACCCTCATATATGATGGTGGTCAGTGATAAGTACCCTCATATATGATGGTGGTCAGTGATAAGTACCCTCATATATGATGGAGGTCAGTGATAAGTACCCTCATATATGATGGTGGTCAGTGATAAGTGAAAGCCGAATGGTTTTCTCGCTGCTTCTCTATTGGGGTAACAACAGCAAGTGTCTAACTTTTTATATCCATACAATTGTAACCATTTGTCTTTTCGGCCATAACCTGGTGCATAGGTGTGACTGGGCCCTCAAAGATTTTGGGTTCCTTTTCATTCCTTGGGACAGTCCTGAGTCATCTCAGCCGACAATGATTCTACGTGATCTGGGGAAATAGCGCTCAGTACTTGTAATGACCTCTAGAGGGCGCCGTCTGATGAAGAATGACACACCCGGGTGCAGAATTGCCTCCAATGTCTGCATTCGGGATGTTCTCTCTTTCTAATTTTCCTGATCACCAATGTCACCGAGAATGAAAGTGACGTGTAAATCCAACATTCTCAGTTGTCACCACAACAGGAACAGATGGGAAATATTCCGACGGGGACATCTCTCCTGGTGACAACTAAGAAGGGATATCCCTCACGTTGGAAAGATACCCTCCCACTTCCTGTTAGGTCTACCGGGCAGGAAGTGAGGGGGAAATCTCCCTAATGAGACACAGATGGCTAAACAAAAAACCCTGACAGCGGTTTTAACCCTTTCTACGCTCTCCAAAATGAAAACGTTTTGATTACGGATGCATTTTTAAGATGCAAATGGATACAATGCCCGACCAATAAAGTTTCATTAAAAAAGTAAACTTGCGCCAGCGAATATCATTGCGTAAAGGGATAAGTGCGGCGAGCTTGCGTTCGCAATAAGCCAGGTACGGTCAGCTAGATGATCATTTGCTGCTTGATAAATACCCCCCCGTAGGATCTGCGTGTGGCCCCCACAGTGTTATCACACCTAATCATGTCTGAACCAGAAGGTGATGGAAGCTTTCCCTGCTCTGCTCCCGCATGAGGAGTTTGGAGGGCACATCATTTATGAGGGTTGACTTTATTTTTCGGTTGCACAATCAGACGGATACATTTCTGCGACGAATGGAATTCCAGGGACATCGGGGAGAAATTAACATCTGCTGGGTGGATTTCCACATTTAGATATCAGGGTGTAGAGAACGGCGAAGCGTGCTGGTTGTCTCTGCCATAAAAGGGAAAAGCGCTCCTGTCCCAGTGACTCACGTTCCCTCCATACGTCTTTCTGTACTGGGGTCACCGGCGGGAGGATGTTGTGGGGTAAATATGAAGGTTTATTTTACGGGACCCCTGAGTGGGCCCTTCCCGCTCGTGTCGTTACATCACAATCGTCTCATCAGATGTAGTAAGGTTTCGCAATGAGCGTCATCACCTCTGCCCTTGTGCAAACCATCTGATGGATGCAACTCGCGTGCGGCTGATTCACACCTCTTATCAGAGCTTATCTGGCACACACGGTCATGTGACCTCATCCTGACTACGCAGAAGAACCTTGTGAAGAAGGTGTCAGTTTGTCAGCGTTCTGGACCCCCAAGTGTCAGTGTGTCATTGTTCTGGACCCCCAAGTGTCAGTGTGTCATTGTTCTGGACCCCCAAGTGTCAGTGTGTCATTGTTCTGGACCCCCAAGTGTCAGTGTGTCATTGTTCTGGAACCCCCAAGTATCAGTGTGTCATTGTTCTGGACCCCCAAGTGTCAGTGTGTCATTGTTCTGGAACCCCCAAGTGTCAGTGTATCATTGTTCTGGACCCCCAAGTGTCAGTGTGTCATTGTTCTGGGACCCCCAAGTCACAGTGTGTCATTGTTCTGAACCCCCAAATGTCAGTGGGTCATTGTTCTGGGACCCCCAAGTGTCAGTGTGTCATTGTCCTGGACCCCCAAGTGTCAGTGTGTCTAGTAGACCAGTGTCTGCAGTGCACTCGGGGTGCCTCGGATCATTGTGCAGCGCTGAGCTCGGCGGAGTCTTGGCGTCCCCGGAGGGGTTAATAGTTTTCTCTGCGCGGCTCGGATCTCCAGTACAACAACACGTGGCACTTTTATTTTTCAGCCGAGCTCAGGCCTGTAATTGCCTGTAAAGACGTCTTTCCACACAACAAGCTATCAGCTCCTTCTCTCATTACCGTCCTCCAGAGTCAGCGTGTTCCAAAACAACCGGCGCCCACTGCCCTTCTAGACTTCCCCTATAATTTTACTATCACCCTGGAAGCCATTGCTGGCCATTGTCTCTTTCTGAAAATGCTGATTCCCTGGCTGCCGTGCTGATCCAATGCATCCAATACCCTCCGGGTCTGAGAGAGGGGCAGCTGCAGGGGAGGGGAGGACGGGCCGCCTTGGGCCCACAGAGACCCAGAAGGGGTCATGTAGCAGGATGGAGAAATCCATACTTGGAGAGCGAGAGGGAACGGTTGGCAGCGCTGCGATTCCTGACAACTTCCAGCTGTTCCGCAGCTTTACGGCATCTGACGCCTTCCCTTCGTGTGTGACACGGGCCGCGGTGTCCCGGGGAGATCTGGGGACATCCTGCATCCTTATAGGGGATTTCCGCAGACTGGATTCTACCGCAAATGAGGAAGCGCTGGCGCCGTGCGCAAAGATGGCTGCCAGGAACACTGAGCCAGTCACATCAGTCTCTGCAACAGAGGAGCTTACACTCTAATGTCCCCCCACAGTCACATCAGCCTCTGTACAGAGGAGCTTACCCTCTAATGTCCCCCCACAGTCACATCAGCCTCTGTACAGAGGAGCTTAC